AATTTGTGAAAATCCAAGTAGTAGTTTCCATTTATCATTACCCTCTGGTTATGTCAAAATAGCTATTGAACATGACAATTTATAGTGGATTTACCCATTGAAAATGGTCATTTTCCATAGTTTTTTGTATGTTTACCAGAGGGTATCCCGTTGTATCCACCTCATATCACCAGATCCACAGTTTTTCCTGAGAATTTTCGGGGCTTAGCCTCGGCCATTTTATCAACTAGACAAATCCGTACTTGGACCATCCCAATTTAGGATTCGTGGTTTCTATATAACATATATATATATAACTGGGGATATCCCGTGTATATATATATATAATTATATATATTCTAGTTGATGTTTATGGTAAAATCTGGGTGTATATCAAGTTATAAATGGAACTCCCAAGTAGCTGTTCCGGTGAAAACGTCCAATCTCCTGAGGCTTGGAATGCGGCCATGACCTGTTGCATTCGTGGCGAAGTCTGGCATCGGGCAGTGCAGATGTGGCTGGGACGCAGTGTTCATGGCTGCGAACAATGGGGGATTTGATCATGACATGGGTCTGTTATACCTTCTACATGCCCTTCGAAATGGGGAAAATGATGACTCACCAATGGATTTAGAGGTAACAATAGGTAACATATTTTCAGACAAAGCCACCTCAGAGTTGGGTTTTTACTGGGGAAAAATTACTGGCACCCGGGTTTTTACATGGATTGAACCAAGAGGAAAAGTTTAAGCGGAGTTTGCCAGGAAACAATCCAATTTTGCCAAGGTGTGAGATTTTTGCCAGGTTTGAAAGGGAACTGACAGAGGTGACATGAAATATCAACAACTATGATTTCACCAGCAAACCCTCCAAAAAGATCATTATTGGGATGTTTAAAAAGGTGACTTCTACCACCCATAAAAGTGGTCAATTTGGGGATGGTGGATCCTATTTCTTTACCAACAGTAAAGCTTTTGTGACTACTCCAAAATCCATTTGTGATGATTATATTTTGTTTTTATTTGATTGTCATTGTCGATTTTATCTGACCGTAAAGCCTTTGTTATCACTTTCTCGTTCTCTACAAACTCCGCAGCCAGCATATTTCCAAACTTTGGAGAACAAAGTCTACAACAGCTGACGTTGTGGCACTGACATGTACTACGCTCTTGTCCTCGTAATTGAACGGTTTGCTATGGAAAATCACCATTTCCAATAGGTTCTTTAATCATATGTAAATTGCGATTTTCCATAGCTTTGGCAGCTATGTTTAATCACCAGAGGGTAACAAGCAACAAGAGGGAATTCAAGCACACAGTGAAGACCCCGCGAAGACACTAAGGAACACATGTTGGTGGTTCATTCATTTTTTCTCCTGTTTGAACAATGAATCAACTGAACAGAATCACAAAGTTTTCCACCAAACAATTCAATTGAGTGAATTTGTTGGAACTGGATTCAAGAACAAACCAAATGCTTAAAATACCGCAATGACAATAAATCCTTTTTCAACTTTCAAAAGGTATTTGACCCTTGTGGTGTCAACCTTTGCAGGGTATCTATTGGCCAAGTCCTATGGTTCATCAGTCTCCCGAGACACTGCCCATCGGGTCGTGCAAATATCATTGGTTTTGTAGCGCATTGAATGTCCCATAGCATATCCCATATATATCCCGTTTACATCCCATTTAAGTACTTTACCATGCTTTATCAGCCAATAAACCCATGGAAATATCCAGGTCCGCATCCCCAGGTTCAGCACCATGGAGAAGCACCTGCTGATGCCCAATGAGGTCTCCTATAACGCCCTGCTGAGTGCTTGCGAGCCTTGGATGCCCAATGTTTAAGTGATGTCATCAGCAAGAATCTAGCGAACAAAAGTGGGATTGATCCAGCAAACATGGTGATTTAACATGATTTAACTAGCACAAGTGGGATTTAACCATTGTTTGGAGAAACATTGATTGGATACACAAAAAATTGGATCTTCTTTTTGGCAAACGCGGATGTATTGTGACCTCATCTTTTTTGTTTCGAGCGCATCTTAGTGTGGTCATGTCATTCCCGGTTGAAGCATCCAACTGCCAACACCGCGACAGAACCTTTTCAGGTGAATCATCATGTGGGACGCCCTGGAAAAACAGATAAAACACATTCTTCACAAGTGTTCATAGGAATTGTTCATAGGATCCTCTGTTTCAAAAAAACTTTGGGGGGTTTGATCCTATGTTTCTATCTCTTTCGGGGGTTCTAGATGTGGATTCCACCACCAAAACTCGTGGTATGGTGGATGATGGACTTTCTCGACCAACTGATTTTTGAAAACCTTTGTGATGAAAAATCTGGCTAAAGATCGATTTTGTCTTCAAATCTATTGCGATACAAAGGTCAATACAAAGTCTGTGATATGTTTCAGAGACCTATTTTCATTGTTCTATTCAGAGATGGGTTTTCTACAGCATATATTTACATATCAGATAATATATATATATATATTATATATATAATTACACACAACCAGTTTAAGCGCATTTTTTAAGCAGGAGGCTCGACAAAACAACAAAGGAGCCCCTGAAGTTACTGAATGATATGGGGCGATTTAGGAAATACCCCGGTCTACCAGGTTACACAAAGAATTGTTATGTAATCATTGTCACATACATAACTCCTTTATAATACCTACTGTACCCATTATATAGTTGGGACTGCACATCCAACTATCATATGGCGATGGGTCAAGTGATTCACACATATACAAATGGCATTTGTTTTCAAAAGTGAACCATCTATCATCTATCGATGTTTGGAGCATTCTGACCCATATCCCAGGGAACCCCAAAATTTGAGTCTGAAATTCTAGGATCCAAAATGCACAAAAAAGTATTCAACTAGGATTTGCTAAGATTTCGCATCCACCAGCCCCCTTGAAATTTGTTTGCGTGCTGGACCCGTGGACCCCAAACTCATCCAGCTAATTGGTCATGTGCAATGGGGGGAAACCAATGGTTTGGGGGTTATCCCTTTGGGATTCGAAATGGGTATAGCATGGTATAACCATGGTGATTACATCCGCAAGTGGATACCAAGCCCATCCTGAACATTGAGATGGGCGTTGACGAAATGCCGATCCTGCCAGTAGTCATATGCTTGTCTCAAAGATTAAGCCATGCATGTCTCAGTATAAGCATCTACATGGCCCAGGATCGAGGTTACCAGCCTCATACATGGAAGAATTCGGACTGGGATTTATCCCTCATCAGGGATATTTTCATCGTCGCCTTCCAGATCATTTCATGCCGGCAGGACCCTAGAATGCTCCAGCTAGCTATGGCTGACATATGCCAAAACTATGGCAGAGAGAGGCTGTGAATGTGGTTGGCATCTGAAGCTGTGAGAGGGCTGATTTAGGAGAATAGGACGTTTGTATGCGGCCTCGAGGTTCACCTAGTTTGGTCTTTTCCAGGGCCACTTCAATAGCCGTGATTTCAGAGACTTGCAGCAGAGATCCAAAAAGTGGAATTGCAGTCATTTGAACTTGAATGCATCAGTTGTACGAAAAGCGGGGCTTCAGGATTGACCCTTTGAAGCCTGCGTATAGACTTATGGCACACGGCACGCCACCTGGCTGTCCCTGCCCGGTGCTCCATGACCTGGCCGAATGGGCCGCTGGTCCGGCCCCCGTCGGAGCTTTTGGCCGCGGGATCGCGGAGCATTTTTTCCCATGCTGGGACGAATGGATACGAATGGGACATGGGTCAGCTTAAGACTTAATATCTATGAATAGTGGTTAATACCTATGAATAGGTGAATCTCCATAATGATTGATGGGATGAATATGGGTTACCCCAAGCCATTAGAAGTTAGAAGTGAATTGTAGCCACTTTTTTGGGGAAAGGAGTCATTTGACCTCTTTAACAAATGATATGAATTAGTCATTATCTGGGGTGGCCCGGGAGCAACCCTGCAAACCCTCCGGTACAGTTTTCCATAGAGAATGGTCCATGTATAGATGATTTATGATGATTTACCTCTTAAAATTAAAGGACCGGATAACCCCACAAGGCAACTTCTTCCAATAATGGGCACCAAATGTTGTAGCGGGGACGGGGAAGGAAGGAAAGACAAAGGAGGTGGTAGAGGATCAAGAAGCAAAGCAAAGTTGTGTGTGTGTGACAAAGTTGTATGTGAAAGATGGTGTGTGACAAAGAAAGATGGTGTGTATGTGTGTGTGTGACAAAGTTGTGTGTGTGAAAGATGGTGTGTGACAAAGATGTGTGTGAAAGATAGTGTGTGAAAGATGGTGTGTGACAAAGTTGTGTGTGAAAGATGGTGTGTGACAAAGTTGTGTGTGAAAGATGAAAGATGGTGTGTGAAAGATGGTGTGTGACAAAGTTGTGTGTGAAAGATGGTGTGTGACAAAGTTGTGTGTGAAAGATGGTGTGTGACAAAGTTGTGTGTGAAAGATGGTGTGTGACAAAGTGGTGTGTGAAAGATGGTGTGTGACAAGATGGTGTGTGTGAAAGATGGTGTGTGACAAAGTTGTGTGTGAAAGATGGTGTGTGACAAAGTTGTGTGTGAAAGATGGTGTGTGACAAAGATGGTATGTGACAAGATGGTGTGTGACAAAGTTTGTGTGTGAAAGATGGTGTTTGACAAAGATGGTTTGTGAAAGAGTCTTGAATGACACCAGAGCCAGCCCAGTGCCATAAGTGCCACGCCTGCCACGCAAAACGAAGGTGGATGTGACCAAGTGCCACAACCTGCCACGTGAAACGAAGGTGGATGTCACCAAGTGCCACGCTGCGACGCAAAGTGCCGCGGCGTCACCGGCGACTAAAACCACCAGAGCCAGCCTAGTGCCATTAGTGCCACGCCTGCCACACAAAACGAAGGTGGATGTGACCAAGTGCCATGCCTGCCCCGCGAAACGAAGGTGGATGTCACCAAGTGCCACGCCTGCCACACAAAGTGCTGCGGCGTCACCGGCGACTAAAACCGGCCCAAGCGCGCCACCAGAGCCAGCCCAGTGCCATAAGTGCCACGCCTGCCACGCAAAACGAAGGTGGATGTGACCAAGTGCCACGCCTGCCACGCGAAACAAAGGTGGATGTGACCAAGTGCCATGCCTGCCACGCAAAGTGCCGCGGCGTCACCGGCGACTAAAACCGGCCCAAGCGTGCCACCAGAGCCAGCCCAGTGCCATAAGTGCCACGCCTGCCACGCAAAACGAAGGTGGATGTGACCAAGTGCCACGCCTGCCACGCAAAACGAAGGTGGATGTGACCAAGTGCCACGCCTGCCACACAAAGTGCTGCGGCGTCACCGGCGACCATTCCGGCCCAAGCGCCATAACTGCCACGCCTGCCTCGCAAAACGAAGGTGGATGTCACCAAGTGCCAAGCCTACCACGCAAAGCGCCGCTGCGTCACGGCGACTAAAACCGGCCCAAGCGCGCCACCAGAGCCAGCCCAGTGCCATAAGTGCCACGCCTGCGACGCAAAACGAAGGTGGATGTGCCATAAGTGCCACGCTTGCCACAAAGTTGTGTGCAAAAGATAGTTGGTGACAAAGTTGTGTGTGAAAGATGGTATGTGACAAGATGGTGTGTGACAAAGATGGTGTGTGACAAAATTTGTGTGTGAAAGATGGTGTGTGACAGACAAAGTTGTTGTGTGAAAGATGGTGTGTGTGACAAAGTTGTGTGTGAAAGATGGTATGTGACAAGATGGTGTGTGACAAAGTTTGTGTGTGACAAAGTTGTTGTGTGAAAGATGGTGTGTGACAAGATGGTGTGTATGAAAGATGGTGTGTGTGAAAGATGGTATGTGACAAGATGGTGTGTGACAAAGTTTGTGTGTGAAAGATGGTGTGTGACAAAGTTGCTGTGTGAAAGATGGTGTGTGACAAAGGTGCGTGTGAGAGCGGAGGAGGGGGCGGAGGAGGAGGAGGAGAGGCGGAGGAGCCGGGATACAGAATCAAAAACAAGAACCCCTCACAAAGATGTGGGGAAACATGTTATTTTCCATAGCTACGTTATATAAATAAAAAACCAGAGGGTAGGGAACCCCCAAACCCAGTGATTAATGATGCTTATATGAATAGCAGCGTTAATGATGGTGAATGATGAGTTTCCTTGATGATCTCTTGGAGGCCGGTGACATACCTTCAAGCACCGTGTACTGCAGCCAGTAATTTGCAGACTGCAGGGGTTCCCTTGGCCCCAGGTTATCCTTCCCAATATCACATTTTTGTCACCATCATAGCTATAATTTAACATGCGTTGGTTTATCATGATTTTCCCCATCAAAATCAGACTCTTGATGCTTACATCCACATTTTACTTCGTTAAAAACCATGAAAGTCCCATGACATATCAACAAAATCCTTCTAACACCCAAGTGAAATATGTGAAATCCATATATAAACACAATATTAAACACTATTAAACTTATTAAACATGATTAAACACCATATGAACACCATCTCTTGGCGCCCATTTCCTCAGATTGCCCCGGTGGCCGTTCGGGGCCCAGGAGCGCGGACAGCATTGGGAGCCGGTTCTGCGGACCTTGGAGGAGATGCGCAGGGCGGAGGTGCGACGCAGAGCGACGGATCCCGGGTGTCCTCGAAGATAGTCAGATTTACTGGTTATGATTAGTTATTAATGTTAATTAGTATCAATAACTAATGGTTATAGTAATGGTTAGTAATGGTTATTTATGGTTTTATAACTAATTGTTATTACTAGTATACTATAACCATCTATCAGCCACAGTATACTAGTTATCAATAGTGATCAAGAACTAATGGTTAACAAATGTCGTGATATTTTATGGTTGACTAATGGTTAGTAATAACCCATGATTATATCAATGGTTTTTACTAATGTTATCAATAATGGTTATCAATAAGCAGTGAGTCTGACCATCTTCAATAACTCATGGTTATAGTTGTAGTGGTACAGTATCATGTATCAATAACTCATGGTTATTAGTATCAATAGCTACTGGTTATCAATACCATCAATGGTCATACTAACGGTTGTCAATGGTTATTAGTATACTATCATTATTAATGGTCCATTAATGCTTATTACTACTAAACTATAACCATCTATCAGCCACAGTATACTAGTTGTCAATGGTGATCAAGAACTAGTGGTTAACAAATGTCGTGATATTTATGTTTAACTAATGGTTAGTAATAACCCATGATTATATCAATGGTTTTTACTAATGTAATCAATAGTGGTTATCAATAAGCAGTGAGTCTGACCATCTTCAATAACTCATGGTTACAGTTATAGTGGTACAGTATCATGTACCAACAACTAATAGTTATTAGTATCAATAGCTACTGGTTATCAATACCATCAATGGTCACACTAACGGTTGTCAATGGTTATTAGTATACTATCATTATTAATGGGTATACTATCATTATTAATGGTCCATTAATGCTTATTACTACTAAACTATAACCATCTATCAGCCACAGTATACTAGTTATCAATGGTGATCAAGAACTAATGGTTAACAAATGTCATGATATTTGTGGTTAACTAATGGTTAGTAATAACCCATGATTATATCAATGGTTTTTACTAATGTAACAAATAATGGTTATCAATAAGCAGTAAATCTGACCATCTTCAATAGCTAATGGTTATAGTTTTAGTGGTATAGTATCATGTATCAATAACTAATGGTTATTAGTATCAATAGCTACTGGTTATCAATACCATCAATGGTCATACTAACGGTTGTGAATGGTTATTAGTTTACTATCATTATTAATGGTCCATTAATGCTTATTACTAGTAAACTATAACCATCTATCAGCCGCAGTATACTAGTTATCAATGGTGATCAAGAACTAGTGGTTAACAAATGTCGTGATATTTATGGTTAACTCATTGTTGGTAATAACCCATGATTATATCAATGGTTTTTACTAATGTTATCAATAATGGTTATCAATAAGCAGTGAGTCTGACCATCTTCAATAACTAATGGTTATAGTTATAGCGGTATAGTATCATGTATCAATAACTAATGGTTATTAGTATCAATAGCTACTGGTTATCAATACCATCAATGGTCATACTAACGGTTGTCAATGGTTATTAGTATACTATCATTATTAATGGTCCATTAATGCTTTTTACTACTAAACTATAACCATCTATCAGCCACAGTATACTAGTTATCAATGGTGATCAAGAACTAATGGTTAACAAATGTCATGATATTTGTGGTTAACTAATGGTTCGTAATAACCCATGATTATATCAATGGTTTTTACTAATGTAATCAATAATGGTTTTTCAATAAGCAGTGAGTCTGACCATCTTCAATAGCTAATGGTTATAGTTTTAGTGGTATAGTATCATGTATCAATAACTACTGGTTATTGGTATCAATAGCTACTGGTTATCAATACCATCAATGGTCATACTAATGGTTGTCAATGGTTATTAGTATACTATCATTATTAATGGTCCATTAATGCTTATTACTAGTAAACTATAACCATCTATCAGCAACAGTATACTAGTTATCAATGGTGATCAAGAACTAGTGGTTAACAAATGTCGTGATATTTATGGTTAACTCATTGTTGGTAATAACCCATGATTATATCAATGGTTTTTACTAATGTAATCAATAATGGTTATCAATAAGCAGTGAGTCTGACCATCTTCAATAACTAATGGTTATAGTTATAGCGGTATAGTATCATGTATCAATAACTAATGGTTATTAGTATCAATAGCTACTGGTTATCAATACCATCAATGGTCATACTAACGGTTGTCAATGGTTATTAGTATACTATCATTATTAATGGTCCATTAGTGCTTTTTACTACTAAACTATAACCATCTATCAGCCACAGTATACTAGTTATCAATGGTGATCAAGAACTAGTGGTTAACAAATGTCGTGATATTTATGGTTAACTAATGGTTAGTAATAACGCATGATTATATCAATGGTTTTTACTAATGTAATCAATAATGGTTATCAATAAGCAGTGAGTCTGACCATCTTCAATAACTAATGGTTATAGTTTTAGTGGTATAGTATCATGTATCAATAACTAATGGTTATTAGTATCAATAGCTACTGGTTATCAATACCATCAATGGTCATACTAATGGTTGTCAATGGTTATTAGTATACTATCATTATTAATGGTCCATTAGTGCTTTTTACTACTAAACTATAACCATCTATCAGCCACAGTATACTAGTTATCAATGGTGATCAAGAACTAACGGTTAACAAATGTCATGATATTTATGGTTAACTAATGGTTAGTAATAACCCATGATTATATCAATGGTTTTTACTAATGTTATCAATAATGGTTATCAATAAGCAGTGAGTCTGACCATCTTCAATAACTAATGGTTATAGTTATAGTGGTATAGTATCATGTATCAAACACTAATGGTTATTAGTATCAATAACTAATGGTTAACAATACCATCAATGGTCATACTAATGGTTGTCAATGGTTATTAGTATACATTATTAATGGTTTATTAACGATTTTTACTACTAAACTATAACCATCTATCAGCCACAGTATACTAGCTATCAATGGTGATCAAGAACTAATGGTTAACAAATGTCGTGATATTTGTTGTTAACTATTGGTTTGTAATAACCCATGATTATATCAATGGTTTTTACTAATGTAATCAATAATGGTTATCAATAAGCAGTGAGTCTGACCACCTTCAATAACTCATGGTTATAGTTATAGTGGTTTAGTATCATGTATCAACAACTAATGGTTATTAGTATCAATAGCTACTGGTTATCAATACCATCAATGGTCATACTAATGGTTGTCAATGGTTATTAGTATACTATCATTATTAATGGTCCATTAATGCTTTTTACTACTAAACTATAACCATCTATCAGCCACAGTATACTAGTTATCAACGGTGGTCAAGAACTAACGGTTAACAAATGTCATGATATTTATGTTTAACTAATGGTTAGTAATAACCCATGATTATATCAATGGTTTTTACTAATGTTATCAATAATGGTTATCAATAAGCAGTGAATCTGACCATCTTCAATAACTAATGGTTATAGTTTTAGTGGTATAGTATCATGTATCAATAACTAATGGTTGTTAGTATCAATAGCTACTGGTTATCAATACCATCAATGGTCATACTAATGGTTGTCAATGGTTATTAGTATACTATCACTATTAATGGTCCATTAATGCTTATTACTAGTATACTATAACCATCTATCAGCCATAGTATACTAGTTATCAATGGTGATCAAGAACTAAAGATGAACAAATGTCATGACATGTATGGATAACTAATGGTTAGTAATGACCCATGATTATATCAATGGTTTTTACTAATGTTTTCAATAATGGTTATCAATAAGCAGTGAATCTGACCATCTTCAATAACTAATGGTTATAGTTATAGTGGTAAAGTATCATGTACCAACAACTAATGGCTATTAGTAACAATAACTAATGGTTATCAATACCATCAATGGTTATACTAATGGATATCAATGGCTATTAGCATACTATCATGATTAATGGTCCATTAATGGTTATTACTCGTATACTATAACCATCTATCAGCCACAGTATACTAGTTATCAATGGTGATCAAGAACTAATGGTTAACAAATGTCATGGTATTTATGGTTCACTAATGGTTAGCAATAACCCATGATTATATCAATGGTTTTTACTAATGTTATCAATAATGGTTATCAATAAGCAGTGAGTCTGACCATCTTCAATAACTAATGGTTATAGTTATAGTGGTATGGTATCATGTATCAATAGCTAATGGTTATTAGTATCAATAGCTACTGGTTATCAATACCATCAATGGTTATACTAATGGTTGTCAATGGTTATTAGTATACTATCATTATTAATGGTCCATTAATGCTTTTTACTACTAAACTATAACCATCTATCAGCCACAGTATACTAGTTATCAACGGTGGTCAAGAACTAACGGTTAACAAATGTCATGATATTTATGGTTAACTAATTGTTAGTAATAACCCATGATTATATCAATGGTTTTTACTAATGTTATCAATAATGGTTATCAATAAGCAGTGAATCTGACCATCTTCAATAACTAATGGTTTTAGTTTTAGTGGTATAGTATCATGTATCAATAACTAATGGTTGTTAGTATCAATAGCTACTGGTTATCAATACCATCAATGGTCATACTAATGGTTATCAATGGTTATTAGTATACTATCTTTATTATTGGTTATTGTGACTATAGCATAGTGTACTCGACTATGAACTAGACCAATCATAGTATACTACAAGCCATAGTAATCATTGGCAGACAATGTTATTACTAGTTGTTGTAGATGCTACCAATGTGATTATATATAACCATCTGTAACCCACTAATAGTGTATTTACAGTGTATTTATAGCTTATGTTGTTACCACATTTTTAGCCATAGCGTAACTAGACTACCAGTACCATACCCCCAAGAAGATAGCCTAAACGGCTTTCGGTCATGTTTGGCATTTTCAGGTTCCCAACGTTTCGATCTTGGAACGGGGGTTGCTATAGATCTATAGTATAACTTTTGATGACTGACCGCATCATGGTAAGTAGATGTGTTTTGTTATCAATATATAGTTATCGGTCTGGTTAGTTTTTATTCTGGTGTCCAAAAAAACATGGTGGACCGTTGTGAAACCCCGGAACTAAATGGGTATGAGAATCATCCAAACGGGGGGATAGGCATGGGGGTTTAATCAACAACAAGTGGTGGTATAAGCTTATTTAAGCTGGTGATAAGATGTTTTAAGTCCTAGCAATACTATTTGAACCAACGAGACATGCAATGAAAGTATGCTCAATGTAAGGATTCCCAATCACAATATACCAGCCTTCAATTGTTAAAAATGCTTTTGAACCGGGAATTGAATTACGGCTCATTTTTGAGGATTCAAATTAATCACCGTAAATATAACTAATACTTAATACTAATGATGATAACATTCAGTCATACCAATAGTTATTGTATTGCTAAGAACAAGAGCAATCTTAATACACAAAATACAGTAATATATATATATATACATATAATCATATATATATATATATACATATAATCATATGTATATATATAAGAATAAGAATAATAATTAATGATAATGGTAACAAACCACCAGCATTCAGTAAGTAAGGACAGGCTGGCTCCATCGTCAGGTTGCGCCAGATGTGGTGACGTTCAACACGAGCATCAGCGCCCTACAAGGTCCACAATGGGAGCACCTTGGCGCCAGAAAAATGATGGGATTTCCCATGGTTATACCATCAAAAATCGTGGTTTTCTAGGGTTTCACCAACAAACATGGTGATTTAATGGGATATTGATGGCACATGTTTAATATTTCATGGCTTAAAACTCACCAACTATAAGTACTCCCATCCCCCCATCCCCTATTAAACAGCCCCTTAAAGGAAACAGCATGGTGGATATGTCGGGGATGATATACCTGAAAACATTTTTCAGTAGGGGCCTCCCGGATTGGATAACCTCTGGTTATATAAACGTGGCAGGTTCCTAAAATGGGGAACACCCCCCAAAAATGGATGGTTTATCATGGACAATCCAATTGAAATCCGGTTAAATTGGATGATTTGGGGGTACCTCCAATTTAGGGAAACCCCCATGTGTCAAAATTAAAGAACATCGTAACCAAACATTTGGTCAACACAATCAAGGTTGGAACTTCATATCCAAACCAACGTGCACAACAATTGATGGGCATAAAAAGTATCAATAACTATGCTTTGGTCGTCCATTCTGGCACGGATTTTTTCCCCATTGGGGTTCCTATTTTCCAACCACGTTAGATTCCCAGAAGGCACACCATTTGAGCCATTTATCACATTTACTGTATCATTGGGAGACCCTGACCCAATCTAGCAAGAACTAAGAGTTCCAAGTGCCAGTTCCAAGAAGATCTAGTCACATGGAACTTGTCATCATTATCTTTGGGGGAGATGATTCGCCCCGTGCCACTGTTTCAGAGGTTACGTTTCTGAAGCGGGCTATCCGGGCATTGGGAAATCTTGGATGAACCAAACAACTCAAACAGCCAACTGGAAATTCAGCACTTGGGGGTCCCTGCCTCTGTGCCCCCGATCTTCGTGATGACCATAGTGAGCTAGGCTGTAGCGCTTCGTTGTGCACCCAGCGGAGCACTTGCTGGTTGGGGGGTCCTGGGCCTGGCCGAACCACCAAGACATGACCAGATGGGACCTGCTGGCAGAGTTCCTCAGCCAACCACCACAACCACACCAGATGAACCAGGTGAGAAAGGTGGTCGTTCCGACACTGTAAGTCAAGTGCAAGATTCCGTTGCTCATGCGAGCTGCCATTTTGGGTGCAATGAGGTATATACCGGTATACCGGTATACCCCCAAATTGCATGAATAGGACACATCATCACAATTTTCTCCGGCAAATCCACCTGTTCACCGACATTCTGCATTAGTTGGGGTTGTTTGCCAATAGGATGCCCCAAAATCCCATGGTTCACATGATTTTTCGTTGAGATGGTACTTTTTGGTTATCTCCCATTTTCAGACCCACAGAAATACTGTGGGGTAGCTAAATCATGCTAAATCCCATTGTATCCACGTGTTCATTAGTTAAATCCATGATGAAATCCACATCTTCACTAGTTAATACACTTTTCCCCCCTTGATGTGTTGTTCTTTTGACGAGTTACCGCGCTTGGCGTTTTCTAAGGACAGCGCTGCAACTCTTCCACAGCGCTAGTTGTGAGGCGATCCAATGATCCACCGTCCAAGTGTATACGCTGCGCTGAAATCTATGGTTGGGATTTTACCCATGCATCTCTCCATTGAAAAAACATGAATGTCTCCATTGAAATGGGCCGTTTGGACATATTTTGTGGGCATTATCCCATTTTAATCTGTTTGGTGGTTTGGAACATGAATTTAATGACTTTCCATATATTGGGAATTTCATCATCCCAACTGACGAACTCATATTTTTTCAGAGGGGTAGGTATACCACCAACCAGTGTAACTATGCTTGATGGTGGTTGATGATGTTCATGGTTACCCTTTGGAAAATTTTAAGTAAGGTAGAATAACTAGTTTTTAACGGGTAAATCAGCGACAGAAATGAATGGGCCATGGCTTCCATGGTAAAGTATCAAATTACCAGAGATGTACTGAGCCTCGTGGAAATAAAGTCTTGGCAGATGGATATTTATAGGAAAGAAAACAGAACTAGACAATTTGTAGACAATTAGTGTAGCGAATGTGTCAAACATCTACTTTCCTCATTCCACTAAGCAACTATCCATCCATTTTTGTGACTGCTGTTTTTTTTTCTAGGTTTCATATTGGATTTTTTGGGGACACCTGCTTTTGTTGCTCGATTTTGTTGGTGGTTTGCCAACTTTTCCATTGCAGTTTGCTTTCATGGGTGGAATCCAAAGCGAAACCAGTCATTATTGTGGTTGATACCCCATGATTCCCTTATGAATGTCATATATTCTGTGGTAAATCCCCAGTTCATAGTGTATATTCCCATATACCAACAGAATTATTGTGGTTGAACCCCCAGTTCTATTGTTCATATCCGAAATTTTGTTGGTTGATAGTGGCATTCAAGATTATCTTTCGTTTCAAAATGGGAATCCACTGCGCCTGGGGAATCTACAGGATTCCTGGTTAAACTATGTGAAAAATGGTTGTCAAAGTGTTTCAGCACAGGGCACAGATTTGTTTATGTTGTTTTTGCACGGTCGAATCCTCAATTTGCCAATGAAATTGAAATTTTGCGGGGATATACCCATTTTCAGTTCAGTGCAGTTTTTCTTCTCGCAAATCCAAATTTCCCGCATTCAGGTTGAAAAGGTCCCACTTTTTTCGAATTAATTCCAGTTTTTTCTCACTAGATCCATGAAAATCACCATCCAGTTGGTTATATCCCATGATATCCCTATTATTAATAACTAATTAGATATCCTGGTATCCTCTTTGTTGGTTACTCCCATTATATCCCCTGAAAAACCAACAGGTTACTCGTTGATCCTTCCATGAGACCAGGTTCAGCCCAACGCGGTGACAATGGCTGCGTTGATTGGTGCCTGTGGCGAGGGACTTCAATGGCAAAGGTTCGGCATGGGGCATGGCGTGCTGGAAAATCCTCCATTTGCAAGGGATTTATAGTCATCCTGGAATTTGATATCGAAACTTCAAACAAATCCTCACTAAAATGAGAATATGCTTTAGACAAATCTATATTCTATCTACTTCAGATGATTGCATATATAATACATATATATACTTTAGTACTAAAATTGGTATATTACCCCATCATTTTAGTATGTTTACTGTAACCATTTTGATGGGTCCCCCTATCTGGGTCCGTCTAGAAATAGGCTCTCCCCTCAGTATGGTAATTTTGATGGGGACAATGATCGTTAAACAATACAGACTCGTTAACATGGTAGCCTATTTACAGTAGCCATTTGCAACAATTCGCAACAAGTGTAATGTTGTACGTAACATGTTGTAACATGATATGTATGGAACACATTGGAACACCTCCACTGTTTGTTGCTTTCCTGCTAGATCCTGATCCTCAGCCAGGCCACTCAACCGTGGAAGAATTCGCACATATTTGCACAGCTGTTCCAAAAATAAGGCAGAACACGTAGGCAGAACACATGTCAATAGCTTCTTCTGATCGGTTTTCAAACTCAGTTTGGATTTCTGTCTGAATTTGGTGTGTATATATATATACAAATAATTAACGGAATCAAGACCTTAGACCGCGGTGACCTATGCTTGCTGCAGGTGATTTGTTGGGTTACTGATTTCGTGTAGCCCTAAATACAGGAATTGAATATCACAAAAAAAAATCTAGATACTGTAATATGATTGATTATTCAACACATCTCTAGAATCTATACTAGAACCTATAAGCTTAATTAGCCATGTTCAAATCCTCGCGTTGTGGTGCTTGATAACCCAAGTCTGCAAGCTGTTTCATCCAACAACACGTAGATCTGCCTTGGAAGAGTTTTCAAAGCGGTTTTAATCCATGGTACTGAAAATCAATTAGCCGAATCTACGATCCATTGAAATGCGATGTTCTGATGGTCTCTACGGCCAAGCCCCATTTGAATTTGCTCAAAACTAAGGTACCTTTATTTCCCCCCAAGCACAAGTGGTTTAGCACCTCATTCCTGTATTTGCATGGTGAAAAAATTGGGTACAACGCATTTCTGGCCAAAGCTACTTGAAACACAGCAGATCTCCTTTGCATCGCCCCTAAACTTTGCTGGAAGATCCTCAAGTCACTGGATGACTTTGTTTACTGAAAAGCAATGGTGATATTCCATGGTCAGATTGGTTGACTGTCGCATGTTTGTGGGGCCTGTCACATCCAATTCGCGCACTGATCACCTCCATTGTTTTTGTTTGGCTCAAGCCACATTTAATTTGCATCTGGTAAGACCACCGTTTGCAATTTAAAGCCACATGGCCACATTTTTTTTTATCTTTGTTGCTTCGAACATGGGCCTAAAGACCTTAGGCTATTAGAATTTTGAACTATAGGCTAACTGTTGGGTTTAAGGGGAATTGAATCTATCGGGATCCCCCCAAAAAGCTCGAACACTTGCGGAAGTTCGATGATGTTTCCTCCATAATTTCCATCTGTATTTGGGGGTTGCTATACAATCTAATAGCTGCTAAGTTATGGTTTAAAACTAGGCTAACTGTTGGGTTTAGGGTGAGTTGAACCTAAAGATGGATGGTGGTTTCAAACATTTTCTTTTTATTTTCCATCATATATGGGTTCCCATATCCTTCCCATTGACTCATATTTTTCGGGGTGGGTCAGCCACCAAGTTGCAGCTGTCCCGGAAGGTCCTTGGATCTCTTCTGGTGCACAGAGCACTGGTGCTGTGAGGCACCCAACGTTCGGGGTCTCGGTGATCGAGTTGCGAAAATCCCGTGGAAAATCCCGTGGAGATCAGAGGAATCTGGGGTGAATATTGAAAACATCTATAACCCACTGGAAATATGGGATTATATGTTGGGAAAATGGATGAGAAGTTGGGAAGTATGGAAATAGTGGAAATATTGAGAAATCATTTGGGAAAAGAACTGGAGAGAACTGGAGGGACCAGGAAATTTTTTATATGTCTCTGGGATATATTGAGAAAATGAATCATTAAGAACATAGATAGAATTGATTTGAATTGTAGCCATGAATATGAATTGCTGGTTAATCCATCTTGTTTGCGGGCGAAACGGTCGTTTTCAGGCTGCAACCATGATTTTTTGGAGATAAACCATGAAATACGACATTTTGTTGTCAGGTATAGCAACTCCCTTAAAACTAGGAGTTGTTTACCACTCACGGATTACCACATCTTTTTTCCATGTGTCTCAGTTCCACTAACTGTTGTCCTTGGTGAAACATCCCATCAAATCTCGTAAAATCCCAGTTAAGTTCCACTTAAGTCCCCATGGTTCCCATGTTTTTCCCAGTTGTTTCCTGCATTTTGTGGTAAAAACCATCGGTTTGTATCGCCGTAAGGAAGCTACCATCGTCTCGGCCATGGCAGCTTGTGGCTCCTGCAGTCAGTGGCGCGAGGCCCGAAATCAGCTTGTTCTGATGAAAACTGCACCTTTTGCGTGATTTGTTGCGGGGATTTGCGGGGTAAAATTGGCATGTTTGCAGGTCAAACCAGTGGTTATGTCAACAGTTTGCTATTGAACATGGCCCAGTCGAAAAAGTGGATTTTCCCATTAAAAATGGTGGATCTTTCCATAGCTATGTTAGTTTACCAGAGGGTAAGCTTCCATTTTCCTATGGTTTTCCTATGGTTTTCCTATGATTTTCGCTACAGCGACCGCTCCCATCGTTGGGACCACGTGGGACCACGTCCAGGCGCTGCAGCTCTTCGGCGAGCTTGAGCGGCAGCAGCTGCCACGGAACGTGCCATTGAAGTGGATGATTTGGGAGATTTTTGGAGTGATTTATATTTAATGGGATTATATTTATATACCACAATATACACCATATATATATAATATATATATATATATATACCATAAGATTCCATTATTCTATATATAACCTCTGGTAATGACTAGCATAGCCATGGTACAGATGGCCCATAGAAATAGATGGTTTACCTATTAGAAGTGGGGATTTTCCATGGCTATGTTAAATAACCAGATGGTATATTTAATGGGACTATAGTTAGAATTATTTAACATGATTTAAATGCATATGGAAGTTTCCTATAACTGTTGTTCTTTTTTTTTAAATAGTGATTTCATGCAATTGTATAGTGATTTAATATGATTCAATGGGATATTAATGAGATTTGATTGGATTTAAATGGACTATGACAGTTTCCCAACATAGGTTTCCCCAAATCAATTGTAGTAAGTGTTGAAACCTCCATGAAGACCTGGTTTCCTAACATAGGTTTCCTAACATAGGTACGCCCAAATCATCAAAAATAATTCGGAAACGTATCGTTAGTTAGGAAACCTACAATTTGCGGAAATTTCCCAGCAACACAAATTCTACTAATTATTGAAAACTAGGGTTTTCGGGGATAACTGGGATAACTAATGTGGATTAATGGATATTAATGGGATGTATGATGTAAATGGAATAACTAGAGTATAACAAATGTGGATTAATGTTCATTAAAATTGGATAACTCATGTGGAATGGGATTAAAAATAAGAAAGATAGCTACAACTAAAGCTAGGAAATGAAACCACCAACCTTCAGTGGGATAAACCCACTTGGAATGGCCTGCTTTTGCTCGAAAACATGCGGAGCATTTGGTTTGGATTCTGGAAAAAGAACATCGACGAAATTGACAGGTGACGGTTTTTTGTGCGGTGATGAATCAAGGCCAATTTCCGTTCTGACCACGACCATAGCTCTGGACCTGTATGCTAAGTCTTTGGTTTGTGGGAGCTATGTATCATTGTATCGTTGGGTAAAAATCGACCGACTCATAACAGGAATGTTGGAATTTTACGAAACATGGGCGATTTTGCTGGAAAGAACTCGGTGTTTGATGTATGTTTTACGGATGAACTAACTAGTAACTTAGATGGGCCATTAGTTGCTGGACTATATCCCCAACATCACTGTACACTTCATGGGTTCTGCCCAAATTACTGCGACCCCAGCCGAGGTGACGAGGTTTTTTTAGTTAGAGAGAATTAACGAGGTCAGTAACGAGGTTGCTTTTTGAGAATTAAGGAGTATGGGCAGTTTTCGGACATGTAAATGGCACGGGCCCATGGAATAAAACTTTTGGAGAGCTGGAAAGTTTATTTTGATGATTCAAGCAGGTGGTTGAGTTAAATTTGTATAGAACGAGGCGGCTGTGTAGTGGAAGTAAATAGATTCCAAATCCACCAAAATAAACTTTTCAGGCTGCCAAAAGTTTGTTTCATGTCCATCCGGTGCCTCCAAGACAGCGCGCCAGGGTTTGTAGGAGACAAAACTTTTCAGTGCTGGAAAAGTTTTTTGCCAGACACCCTCACTTCAGTACTGGGGCTCAAAGACTCACACGCTCAAAGTTCCAGGGCCATGCCGCTGCGAGTTCTTCTCCAGTCGCGTCTTGGGTGGCCTTTCGAGGCCATGAAAGACCTTGATGCGAGTTTCGGAGAAGTCTTGCAGGAGTTCGCTGCAAACAAAGGCGAGGCCTGAGGGCCATTGCGAGGCCTGAGCAAGGGCGATGCTGCGCTTGTGGACAATCAAGAACGTAGAGCTTTTTCCAACATATTGGATGAGATGTCCCCTCCCAAACGCCGTAAGGCGGATGGACACTGAACCACTCTCGGCAAGGCAACGTGAAAAAGCCTTTTGGAAAGAAGGGTTTGGAGACATTGGAACCTGTTCTTGTTCGTGCATCATACATGTATCAATGTTTACTCACAGGCATTTTTAAATCCCATATATACATATATATATATATATATGTATAATATATATGTATATATATATACATGCCTACAGCCTGAAATTAACGAGGCGAGGGGTTATTTTCGAAACCAGATTGAACGAGGCGAGGTGCTATTTTCTAAACCACGTGTAACGAGGCGAGGTGCTAAATGCGCGTAACGATGATCAGACACGAGGTAGACGAGGTAAGAAATAAAGTAACTTGCACAGATGGGTTGCAATCCACTTCTGCTCACCAACAAAAAACAAAAAGCGCCCATCGATAGGATACCTGGGATGATCCTGACGTGTCAGGAGATCCCAACCAATGAGCTAGCTCCAGCTTGGGGCCCGTAAATTTCTATGCCCATATACATGTCCATACCCATTCACTAGCCTCCAAGTTGGATACAAATCTCTCAGTTTGTCCCAAACTCCCAAACTCCCAAACCACAGAGGGTTCCCAGGTCGTTTCCTACTCAGCCGCCGTCGCGGCGTGGCTTGACGTGGTCGATGGTTAGTGAAGATGGGTCGATTCGTGAGAGGAGCTTGTTGTGAGCGCAGCAGTGTTTTAAAGCATGTTTCCCCCCAAATAAGCGAGTGTTTGGAAAAACTAGATAGCAGCGATGACAACAAGCCTTTCTACTATTCTTAGATGAGACCAGGTTCAAAGTCGAATAGCATGGTGAACATCCCAAATTTTCACTTCATATAGATTGGGATATTTGTCACCCAAATTTTGAGGTGATTTGGTCATTGACACAAACCTAGATAGGTCTTGCTATACAACGGAATGAAGATCACCCCCCACACCAGTGATATTTATTACCCCCCAAAAGATAAAAAAGTACAGGAAAGTAAATTCCTGCTTAAATAGTGGTAAATTACGTGTATAATTTTATAATTATCATTGCGTTGACGCGATGGTTTTTCAACAAACATCATGGTGGCCACAAGGCGCTGCAAGCCTTGCAGCGAAAGATCTGGCCTGGGGTTCACGTGCACATGTGGCAGGTGTGCCTCAAGCCACTACGGTTTCCACCAGCTTTCACTGCCACTTTTCGACGCTCTTTACATGGGTATGGGTCAAAATTGGGTACCCCCATGTATCCCAAAAATGGATGGTCAATACCAAATCTAGACTAAAATCTGTGGTCCCCTCTTAAATTTTGATCGTCAACATCTTTCCTCCATCTACGGCAAACAGAAATCAACGCACTTGGACAGCCGAAGCCATCCTGCAGTATGTAGAAGGCTATGGTTGCCACTTCTCCAGGCACTGTTGGTCATCCACCATGTCACATACGTTTAAGATCTTTTAAAATATATCATAACAATTCATACCAAGACTTAAAGATGGTATGACACTATGTCAGTATGATCTATATAGAACTATATAGAACATGATCTAGTACAAAGACATATTGACATATTGATTTATATCTATAACATGGTTTTGCACTCTTAGTATGTGTAGGCTGTACATATGGTCTGTCCTTCAGATGTTGCTGAGATAATATTAAGTTCTTTTTTGGAGGATATATAATCGAGCCTTATGGTACCAAACAAAGACACCCGTTTTCTGGGGCTCCATTCTAATGTTCAACCCATCCTTAATGAGCGGATTGAATAAACAAAAAGGTTGAATTTAAATGATTTTAAGAAGATTTAGCAATCTTGGTTGTATCTCTGTTTTCTATTAGTTCTCAACTCGCAACCAACTTTGCGGGAAAGCATTGGATGAGCCATAGTGAAACCTTTGGTATCTTTGGTGCACTAACCTGGTTTTGGATGTGATTGCGATTCACCTGACCTGGGACGCTGGATAGATTGGCCATGTTCCAACTTGCGGCCGTTGGATTCATCGAGTAATTAGAAAAACACCTCTTGGGACGCAAAGGCTCAAGAGCTCGGAAAGGCTCGGAAAAGATGAGAAAAGCCACCCAGGATCAAACATGGCTACTTGGTGGCTTGATGAAACATAGGTAATTACTTACTGGGGTGACTTGGTGTGGCAGTTTCTTCTTCACAGTTGTTTTCCCTCTCAGTTGACAGATCTCATCTTTTCTGGTCCGAATGACTGTTTCTGCCATCCTCCTTCTATTTCGAATACTTGCATATGAACCCCAGAATGAATACCTAAATCCAATATAATCCAATCATTATTAGGCCAAGGAGTCAAATCATGTTATATCCCACATGGCATGACACAAAACAAACCTAAAGGTGGAACGCACCAGTTATAAAAACCCCCATGAAACCATAGTCACTTGACCTAGTTCTAAGCCAAATTAGCTATTACAATTAACATCAATTAATGTCAACTAACATCAATTAACATCACTAAGTTGGCTATAAACACCTATAAACACATATAAACACATATAAACCATACTCACCAGTGATGTGTCCCAAGTTCGCGATTTCGGTTCGGGGCCTTACCTTGCTTCGGATCGAGGTGTGCGAAGGCTTCTGAAGTCGGACAGGTCCGGGGCCAGTTGGATCATCAGGAGAAAGTCACTGGTGAGTCATTTATATGAATATATATGGGATATTATGGGATCAGTCATTTATAAATATAAATAATATTATATATATTATATATTATATATATATTATATATATATATTATATATACTATATATATATATATATTATATATAATATATATATATATTATATATTATATATTATATTATATATTTATAATAATATATATATATATATATTGTCAAAGGGAACGCAGTCATAGCACACACAATTCATGTGTGTAATGTAGACAACAACTTCATGGGACGCCACTATGGCTCAAGCGCCCATTGCAAGGAAAACAGTCGCGTTCCGTGCGCCATGCTTTGAAGGGTCACGGTTACAACCAGCATTGCCGGTACCTCCAACTAAACGGTATCCAGAACAAGGATTCATTTGTTCACAGGTTATCAGCCGTAGGGCTCACTTCTCCCGTCGGGAGAGTGGTACCTGCGTGCTGGTAGCCGGGCCTTCTGAGCAATTGATTGAGGACGCAAAGGACCAATCAGCTCATCATTGCAAAGATGCAAGGCGGCAGCGGAGATTCGCGCACCACGCAGTTTACCTTCAATGAGAACACTGCCATGCCGGTCGAGGAGGTCAATCAATCTTCCCCTGGTGACACGGCAGACAGTGGTGGGATACGCTCTACCCGAACTACACAGTCCGGATGGCAAGTTACATCAAACAGACGAAGAATATCCACTCAAAGTACACCAAGATCTTCTCGAAACAGTGCTCGAAGTGATGTTGTCCGCCAAGGGCATCGACCATCCCGAGGACGAACTACCCCAAGGGAAAGATCCACCAGGGCCGTGACCGACCGAATTGGTGAGAGGACCGGGGATAGTCGTGTTAAGAGGAGATCAACGGATACGTCTGTGGCTAGTGAACCTATTGTCATGATAGAAGAACTACGGGCACAATGTCAATCCCTACGTAATCAGTTGAACCACATGGAAGCATACGCTGCGTCTAGAGATCAACTGATTCATGACATCGAGATCAGATTCACTGAGTATCTTCAGGAACACAACCAGAACGTATTTGATGAGGTCAATGCACTCAATCATAGATTGTCATGTTCCGCAAATGAGGTTGCAGAATATCAAGCAGAACTAATGGTAGCATCTCAGGAAGACGAAGGTGCAACAATACGCATCCAAGACCTTGAACGCCGAGGTGCCCTAATGGAACATGGTGCACGACGGATCCATCAACGTGGTATGGAGATCCAGGAAGAGTACAAGGATGAAGTACATCACCTTCAAGGACTATTGGGTAATACGGAGGCAAGACTGCAACAGCTTCATCAAACCAATGTCTTAACCACCGATATTGCCAATCGACTATACAATGAAGGTCAAGAAATGCAGACAGATTTCCAGAACTCAATCATGGAATATCGTAATCGATCCGAAATGGCATCCTTCTCTAGCAATCAACTTGAAGTGATTAGCCAACAACAATCAATTGCAGTTCATGAATTATCTGAACGGAATCAGCTATTGAGTGAAGCTTTAGTTCAGTCTCGTAAACAGGCCGAACTGTATGAAAGCAGTATTGATGAGATCACTAGAGAATCTAGAAAGAAGGTTTTCGAGGCAAATCAGGCCAAATTGGAAAGTGATCTGAAGCATCGAAATACTGAACATGATACTGTCAGAAGAATTGCATCATACAGGAACCAAGAGGCCGAGGCGATATCACACCTGAGGCTTGAATCACAGGCTAGTGCAAACTCGATCGCAAGGGCAGAGCACTATGAAGAGCTCTATACCAACGAGCAGGAGATGAACTGCGAATTAAAGGATGAGATCAAGTTGCAGAACACGAAGTTGCGGAGATCGTTGACTCTGGATCCTACGACCGACGGTCGTGGCCCCGATGAGATGCTTGTCGAAGATCTACGTAATCAAGCCAAAATCGCTCAAATCAGGGTTCAAGATCTAGATCATGAAGTTCATGAATGTTTACAAGAGAACATGTTGTTAAAAGAGAGATTGGCTGAAGTTGCGGATGTAGGGGCGTCGTCCCTCACCAATGCTGAGGTCCGAACTTTAAGATCTGAACTAGAGAGTGAGCGCAAAATGAAGTTGGCTAGTGGTGTTCAACAATATGAGAGATCATGTATGTTCATGGGGGAAATTAAGGATAGGGATGAAAAGATTGGTATCAAGAATTCCGAGATTGTTGACATGAAACGTCACCTAGATGAACTAAGAAAGAGTCTCAAAGATTCTGAAACGTCTATGTCTAGGGTCAGCCCTGATACACTTCCCTATTCGGCAGGCATCCCCAACTATGATCTCGCATCAAGACTGGTCATTGACAAACTGGAGAATGACGTGAGTGAGGCTAACTCTGAGAACGCTATTCTAAAATCTTGGGTTTCGCAGATCGACAAGGAGTTGACCTATGAGACAAATATGGCTCATTCCTATCGCGGACATGCTGGACCTTCTCAACAGCAACCTTCTCAATCGAACAAAAGAATCACCGACCTGCTGAAAGAGGTTGACAACAAAATCGCCGATGGGACTGAGAAGGACTATTACAAACCTCCGAGCGGATGGGGCGGTCCGCCTGACCCTGATGGACCTCCTGACCCTTTCGGGCCCAATGGTCCAGGACCACCTCCAGAACCTCCTGGTTTGCCTTCAGTTCGAGGATCACAACGTGATTCAGCAGATGACATCTCCACAGCGGCATACACGGCAGAAGAAGTACCAAGAATGTCAAGACGGGAGGCTGACAAAGTCTATGTTAGCCCATGGCCGAAGCAACAGAATCTTGGGGTTTGGCAATCGGATCTCATCAAGAGTGTTGTTCTTTCCGCAAATGATGGGGACAAAGCTGCATGGGAAGCATGGCTACAGCCGGCTATTCGACCAAATCCTGACATCGAGCTATTGAATGACAGTGGAGGGCAACGATATCAGTCAATTGACGCCAAGTTGTCAATTGCATTGTCAAACGTGATAGCCCAAGCCGGTGATGTTGCTCGTCATGTAGCAATCAAACTGAGATTGAGAACGCAGAGTCACAGCCGAAGAGGAACCTACGTTATGGGACGAGAAATCTTGGCTATGATCCTGGAACACTTCAGAACCCCAGGTCAACGAGAGACAGCCTTCACCATGGAGCACATCGTATCGATGAAATATCTCGGTGATTCAAACCTGGAAGTGTTCTATGAGAAATGGATGGAGATGGTATCAAACATGATGCCGGATGATGTACCTCTTGATGACTGGCTTCGTGATGCTCTCTACAAGAAGATTCGAAATTCGAGTCTTATGATGTTTGACATCAAGCAGTACGAGTCATGGATTGAGGGAGACCAAAGACGAAGCTATCGCTACCTGTTGGACGTCATCGAAAGACACATCTCCAGAATTAGAGAGGACAAGCATGTGGCCGCTAGGGAGAAGTATGCAAGAGATTTTGCAGGCGGCGGGGGCAAGCCTACTGCTCCTGCCCCGAATCCAACTGCTGCTGCACCAGACGCCAATCCGAAAGCGAAGCCTAAGGCCACTCCCAAGGAGAAGGCAGCACTTAAGGCGAAGGCCAAGGCCGATGCAGCTCCAGTTCTACCATCACCTCAACCGAAACAGCATGCAAAAGGAAAAGGGAAAGGTCAAGGGAAAGGAGAGGATCGATCAAACAGCCGAAGTGCTAGCCCTAGATCCAAGAAGAAGATCCCGTGCCACTTCCACTTCATCAAAAAGGCATGCAGAAAAGGCAAAGATTGTGAATACAGTCACGACCAAAAGGTGTTTGATGCGAACAAGAACGCAAAAGGTAATGGTCGAAAGCCAGGAACCCCAAGAAGTCAATCTCCAGCTAACAAGACCAAGAAGGTTGATGAACCGTGCTGGCACTGGGCTAAGGGCAAATGCCGTTACGGAGATAAATGCAACAAACGCCATGATCCTCATCTATTCAACACTGCTCCAAACACCGAAGCATTAGGCTCAAAGGCTACTCCTGCACTTGTCCATGAATGGAGTGATGACGAAGGGACATTCTATAAGGTCGCATCGAACGTCATCAAGAAGAAGGTTAGATTCGATGAGTCCAAGACTTACGTCCAAACGTATGTGAAGAAGGACTTCGTGAAGTGCAGCCGGAAGTCCCAAACCATCTCCAAAGGTCATGGTAAGGTTGGTAAGCCCACCGATCAGATGAGGCAGGATGAGCAATGGTCTTATTCATGCAGATTAGCATCGAGCCGAGGGAAAGCAATGGCTATTCTGATCGATGAGAAGGGTGAGTACAGTGACATTGATGAAGTCCTGGTCATCGTCGGCCCCAGCCTGGACATTCTGATCAGACTCGACATCGAAGACGGTGAGGTGTCTAGGGAAGTCTTTGTAGAGAACTATGTTCAGCACATTGAGGGTCGATATGGTAAAAGGGGTAACACAATGTGTATCACTGTTCCTGTTGAAGAGAGAGATAAGAGATTCATATTGGATTCTGGAAGTGGTCATGATCTCATCTCATCTACACGAATAAGTAGAATGGATCTCCCAACATACGATGACAAAGTCGTCAACTTCCATACAGCAAATGGGGTAACATGTTCGACCAAACGTTCAAGTATCAAGTTCGAGGCATTCAACGAACCAGCAGAAGCTCACATCCTGGAAGATACACCTTCTGTGCTCTCAATGGGAAAGCGGTGCGTCGAACTTGGCTACTCATTCGTATGGCCGACTGGAAGAACTCCTTTCATGTTAGATCCCAATGGCAACATCATCGAGATGACCGTCAAAGACTACATTCCCTATGTGAGCGTAGATCAAGAGAAGAGAAAGTTGAAATCATCTTGTGTGGAAAAGATCATGGCAGTTCTTGATGATGGATGCTCAACGTCGGAAGGCGAAGGTCTTTTGGTCATTGATGGAGAAAGTGTGGATGAGCTTGAGGATCTTTCCGACTCCGTTGGACG